TACTGATTTAAAAGTTATAGCATGAAAACTATAACAAGCACAAAATGGTTACGAGGTTGGTCCCAGGATTAATTAGTAAAATATAGTCATTTTTATTAAGTTAAATATTTAAGTATAGACCAAGAAGTTAACTGTATCATTCTGGAACAATTCAACTAATATTGATCATCACACAACAATGATTTAATAAACATTTTTGGGAATGTATAATTTTTAAATTGTTAATACGAAATTTCTAGTCTGCTTCTAACACACTTAATTATTGCTTTGTTTTTCACACAACAAACACTTATTAACTAACGAAACATTTAGTAACATCACAAGTTTGCTTTTCTTAAAAAAATAATTCTATCTCTTACAAACAAGTGCAAAGTAACCATACCTGGCAAGTTCTGTAACTTCTACCCCTTCAAATCCATCAACTGAAGTTAAAACAACACTCATCTGTAGGAAAAAATATGTATAAATCATTGGCCAAGTTCTTACAGTAAGCTGGATGAAAAGTATTGTTTGCTTCATGAGTTAGTACAACAATAACGATGGGAGTTAAATAAAAGCAAACTATTAAAGATTCAACTGTCGATAGTAGTGATGTGTGCAATCATGGACTGTATAACAGAAACTAGTCATTTTCTGGCCTCAACCAAACACTTTGTTAATATTTTGATGATTGACAGTTACAAATAAATGAAAAAATATATAACCTTACAATGTAAAATTCTTCCCAGCAGTAGATACAAAAATACACTACATGTATGAATGCACAATAGAGATTAGAGGAATACGGGTCTTACTATCATTTTCCTACACTAAAAATGTATTTCTGACTGGTACTCACCCAAATCTATCTCAACCTTTATTAGCAATGTTAAAACATTTTTCATCTATCTCAACCTTTATTAGCAATGTTAAAACATTTTTCATCTATCTCAACCTTTATTAGCAATGTTAAAACATTTTTCATCTATCTCAACCTTTATTAGCAGTGTTAAAACATTTTTCATCTATCTCAACCTTTATTAGCAATGTTAAAACATTTTTCATCTATCTCAACCTTTATTAGCAATGTTAAAAGATTTTTCATCTATCTCAACCTTTATTAGCATGTTAAAACATTTTTCATCTATCTCAACACTGCTAATAAAGGTGAAAAATGTTTTAACTAATAGTACATCAGCCTATTATACCCCTTTATTTTTGCACCATTTTAGAAAATGCTCCCTCTACTATTCTAGCACAATTCTCAATTTTAAGAATTGGCAAACTAAAATACCAGCACATCAGTGGGGCGGAAGGGTGGGAAGTGGACAGTAGATTCTGTGCAATTCTGTCCCTAACTCATAGAACGTGTACCACTTCTGAAGTGGTACCATCTCCTCTGACCCAAAGCTAGAATCTCACACTGAAAAGGTGGAGGGGCCAGTGAAGGCACAACAGTATTCAAATAAGCAGATAACAACCACCTGAAAAGAACAGGTGTGCCAGAAGAAGAAAGTAAGGCACACCTGGGTAAAAAAGATCAAGGGGAAGTGCATTGGGATACGTCGGATTATGCCAAGTGTGATCCATCTGGGCAAACACAACAGTGGAAGTGTCTTGCATAAGTTTTTAATAGCAACAAGTGCAGTCTGCCTCAACAAAGAACATCCAGTAATTGGGTGTGAGAGACTGAATGGGCCTGGTAAGAGGCAAGCAGAAGCCAGTCATCCATGTAATGATGAGTCCAAAGAACCAGTGAGTAAGATGAGGATCAAACCACTCAACAGACCACATAAGGAGCTGAAACCAAACCAAACGGCAGTGCACGGAACAAAAAGACACAACCCCCGTGGATGAATCAAAGAAAATGACCTTGGAGCTATGGGAATATGAAAATAGGCATCCTGTCACATCAAACCTGATGATACAGAGTCCCAGGGAAAACCCCCACTGAAGAAGAATCCACAGAGACCTAGGGTGTCTCCAGAAAGGTATACCATCTCCAGTCTCCTGTCTTTTTGGGGTCAACAAATAGAAGCGTGTAAAATCCTGGATGAGTGGGCATGACCTGTTTGATAGCTCCTTTGTGTATGAGGTCCCGATCTGATTTTGCAATATGACTAGACAAAGCATGATCCTAGGGAGAAGGGAAGGAAACTGGAGAAGATGATAGGGGGAGGGAACCCAAACAAAAGTCAAAGACCCTCTGACAGAACCCACGGATCTGTCGTGAAGATATGCCAAACAACTGAGAGTTGTTGCATCCTGGCTCCACCTGCCCTGGAAAATACATCCATCACCTATTCTGCAGACCCCTGACGGAACACGAAAAACAAGGATAAGGACGGAAATGCCTGGAATAGGGTACCCCAATAGGAAGAGGATCCAGACATTGGTAATTCCAAAAAGGATTTTAGGCCCGCTGGTAAGTCAAAGAATATTAGTCCATCAACTGGAGGGTACAAGGCATACCCGCACCTGACAGCAATGATCAGCAAAACCTTGAACATGAACTCAGATGTCGGATGAAGGAAAAAAAGTTAATAATCAGAAAGAGAAGAATCAAGGGCTAAAACACTTAAAATTTGACATACCTGATCAATAAGGTGTAGGAACGGCAAGGTCAGCAAACTCTCCTGACTGTCAGCATTATGTTACTGACCAAATTATTTTAACCCTGAATAAATTCTTCCTCAGAAGCTTGTTCAGGGGGGAAAAGGAAGAATGAATCGGCTGCCGAGCAAAAGTGTCCAACTCCCTGTGAATTAAGGCTTGAGCTTCCTCGATAAATATCATTTACCTATTTTGGTGGGGACATTACTATCCTAAATATTGGTGGGATCTTCATTATCCGCCACTGTAAAATTGGAATTATGGAATAATTCCTCGAAAAACAAAACTAAAATTCGAAAGCAGACGCTTTAAGTTTAAACTGATTAAGTACTGAAACACAATCACAATGAAAAAGCAAGCACATGGAGCAAAGTAAACACAGGTCAATACACTGTAATGCCAATCGAGAAAGTGAGGATTAGGCTAGAATAGTAGAGGGAGCTACCTGCACTAGTATAGGTGGCGCAGCATGAGTGGTGGAGGGTAGTCACATGATATGTACATGTTCTGAAATGGCGCAAAAATAAAGTGGTATAATAGACTGGTGCGCCATAAGCAAAAAATGTTTTAGCAATGCTTAGAGGGAAAATCAAGGTCGAGAGGCCGTAATGCCACTTTGGAGCTCAATCCTACAGTGATGAAAACCAGAAAAAATATTCAATAACATGATTTTATAACAAATTTCTTCCACTATATGGATAAATACTTACATCTTCCAATATCTGCTTCTGCAAATTACGGTATTCTGCCGAGTCCCTTTTCTTCAGGTTTAAATTCCACTGTTGTGGAAGTTTAACTTCTACTTTGTATTCCATTTTCTGTGGAGCGGGTAATGTTGTCATCAACGTTACTGGTGGACTAATACGGGAGTGACTTGTTGTTATTAAGGTTGTTGTTGTTGGTGGTGGTGGTGGTGGTGGAGATGGTGTAGTACTGGTGGTTGAAGTGGTAGTTTTCTGCAAAGGAGTGCTGGGAGTTCGAAAAGTGGGAAAACGAAGTACAGGCCTTCTAATCTTGGGCAGCTTAGATGTCAGCTTTGGAGCTGGAGTAGATGTAGGAGTTGTAACAGCAAGAATTACCTCATCATCTGTCACAAACAGCAACAAATAATTATAAAATGTATCGGTTCCAGTAACATTTGCTTTGTTACACATCAAATCCTTTTGCAAATAAAGTAGATTTTTTCTCACAAAAAGTCCAATAATTAAAAAATATTTGTTAATCATTCTTGAGATTAATTAGGTGATTAAAATAGTTTTTTTTTATACATTTGGAAGGCTCCTTTACAGTCCTATAAAACTGGCTTTTCTAATCTGAATTCTACATGATGTTTGCTTATTTCATTTAGTCTAGCAGGTAAGACACCACCAACTTATACTATATAAAACAAGTAACAAAAACATTTTGTAAATGTAAAATGATGTAGGGACGACAGTGCCAAAAAAAAGAATGCAAACAAGAATATAGGGATGATACAGCTATATATAAATCATTACTACACGACTTTCAATATTAAAATTTAATATTACACTGTAAAATGCAAGAGTTATGACCAACCTCATAGGTAGAGTCTGTAATAATCAAGACATGTTTTGACTCAACCTGGTTTTCCTTGTACGCAAGTCCTGGGCTCTTAGTTACACTACACTGATGCCCATACCGACATGACCATGATATTATGATAACAAACTCTATACCAACAGTCAGGTATATATATATAACTTCCAACTACAGTAACATTATAGTCCAGTATGCATTTTACGGTGTTACATTAAATTTTAATATTGAAAGTCATGTAAGGATGATTTATGTATAGCTGTATCATCCCTATATTCTTGTTTGCATTCTTTTTGGCACTGCCATCCTCACATCATTTTACAATAACAAAATGTTTATTACTTGTTTGTGGTCCCTAGCCCCCCCC